GCACAGTACATCTACGGCGCCTATGTGGGGATGGGGGGTGGCGTGGTACAGTACATCCACGGCGCCCATGTGGGGGTGGGGGCGTGGTACAGTACATCCACGGCGCCCATGAGGGTGGGGGCGTGACACAGTACATCCACGGCGCCCATGTGGGGGTAGGGGCGTGGCACAGTACATCTACGGCGCCTATGTGGGGATGGGGGGTGGCGTGGTACAGTACATTCACGGCGCCCATGTGGGGGTGGGGGCGTGGTACAGTACATCCACGGCGCCTATGAGGGTGGGGCGTGGCACAGTACATCCACGGCGCCCATGTGGGGGTGGGGGCGTTGCACAGTACATCCACGGCGCCCATGTGGGTCGTGGCACAGTACATCCACGGCGCCCATGTGGCGGGTGTTGCACAGTACATCCACGGCGCTAATGCGGGGGATGGGGGGGGGAGTGGCACAGTACATCCACGGCTTCTTGAAAAAGCACGTCATAACAGGCGACTAAATGGGTGATATTGCCCTGTGAAGTTAGGGCGCGTCTGCCCGAGAGGTGGGGAACCAACAGTCTGCATGCAAGTAAGACACAAGTGTAAAACGGATTTACATGCTCTGGAACTGGAGTCCAGAAGTAAACGTGTTCTGTCTGTGTGTTTGTGTGTTCTCTCTCTTTTCTCTGTGTCTGGGTCTTAAGGATTGTGAACACTGTTTCATATTACCGAAATACCAATGTTTGAAGTCAGCTGAAAGCGATTTGGCAACAGACGACTTTGCATAGTCACCTTTAACATTGTTTTAACGTTGGTGGCGGTATGAGCGTCACACCGCTCAGAAATCGGTGGCTGAACATTTGCACGTAAAAGTGCACATTAAAACCACAGCAGCATATAACTGTTGGGGTTAGTTTACACTGTCCTAAAGAAGAGCTGTGACAAATGTTCAGCTTGTCTGCTCGTTTGGACGTCACAGAAGATTCCAGAACAATCAGGAATATTGTAGAAAGGCTATTCTTCTTCTTCCTCTGCATTTCTAAACCCAATAGAGCATAGGCGTGAACTACCTCACGCCAAGTCATTCTATCTAACCTTCGCTATCGCATGCAGCTCTCCCCATGTCCTCGCCATCTTTGTAATTTCACTGTCTAGCTCCCTTCTTCATGTCTTTGTGGGTTCCAGCGCACAGCCTTTCTAGTTGTATTGTTGTCATGTTTTATGAACGTGTGTCCTATCCAACGCCAGAGTATATTTCTTTACTCCTTGGTCAGCTGAAACTTGTTCAGTTCTCTCACAAAGATCTACATTAGTGATTCTATCATACCTCCTAATTCCTTATATTCTCCACAGACACCAGTTAATGAATGTTTGTAGTTTATTAGTAATTGCCTTGACTGACTGACTTTCTACCCCACCAGAACATCACACAAGCGATAAACACCCGAGGACACAATGTGCCAACCATGTGCTTGAGGATCACCGTGGAGAGGTCTCAGAAACCGCGTTCAGCCTTTAGGCCATATTTATGGCCAGGCTATGTTGCAGCCCCTGGCAAGAGCCAGTGTAGGGCTTCAAATAACGAAAACTTGCATCCTAAAAAGGACGGGAAGTTTATCCACTAGTAATTGCGTTAGCTGTTCTCCATGTTTTAGCTCCATACAGATTTGACGTTAGAATGAAAGATTTAATTTTAGGATTGATATGTTTCTTTCCTTGTTAGAACAGTCAAAGGGGAATAACCCCAAACGCAGACTGGGCTGCTGTTATTGAAAGGGTCGCACTATTGTTTGGATACTGTTATCTCTGTATTGACAGTTTGTGCTATCGTAAATTAGTGAGAACAAATCGATAACCTATACTCTCTTTGTGTCCTGTTCACGTTTCCTGGCCCATTTACACACTGTCTGACCTTTCATTCATACTTTCTCAGACTTTTCTACGTCGGAGGGGTGTCACGTTGTCTTGTCTCCAATTACATTAGCGCGGATGTCGCGTGTTCTATACTACACGACGACACAGCTTTAAATGACCCCAGAACATCTTGACCTGGCCCTAACCCAAACCCTCCTACCCACAGCCTAGTCACAGAAGAGGCCTTTTTAGAGGATAGCAGTACAACGTGACACCTCTCTGACCTAGATCAGACTGAACGAACAAACGAACTTTATTTTCAAAGGGTTAAGAATTGGAAACACAGGCCCGACTTACATTCTGCCCTTCTGGCCTCACGCCATGCATACATTATCTATGCACACATTGTTTTTGCAAATATTAATAATAATAGCATTAATAGACATCATCAACAACATCTTTGTAACAATGTACTCCTAGTATGCCTACATTTAAAAACAATTTGAGACAATGTGTAGGTGGGTCGGGAGACGTGAACAGGTCCCTCTCTTCTATTACATCGTGTGGGTTCCGGAGTTACATTTTGGAAAGCAAGGAATAGACCCAGTGCCCCCTTCTTCAGAAAGCATGTAGTAGGGGACAACTAATTAGGAATATTTCCTTCAAAATCGAAGTACATCTGCTTGAGAGGCAAGGAACCAGTTGTCTGCATATAGATCGGCCAAATCTCAAAACAAACAAAAACACAAAACAAAAACACAAAAAAGGATATGCAGACATAAGTTCTGGATGAAGACCAAAGTCCAGAAGTGGACGAACAACCAGAACTTTCTGACAGAGTTTACAGCCGACCAACGCTAAGAGGAAGAAAAAGAAGAAATATACCTAGTATGATTCAGGTTCAGCCATCGTCATCATGTGCTGTCTCAAAGGTTGTCACAATGTTATTTAGATAACGTTAATCCTGAATTGACAATTTGTGCTACCATAAATCAGCGAAGGCATATCCATACTGTTTAATCTCTTTAAATAAACCCAATACGATTCAAGTCCAGTCATTATCATCAACACAATGGAAACTACCAATCAGATCTCTTTCTTAAATGTTCGTTGTAATTTAGACAAAGCATTACGGTTTACTGTGTTTGTAAATGGTTGCTGTGTTTGTTATTGCACCTGTGCTTGATTTATATAAATTTATGTAACCTGTGGTTCTATTTCATTAGTTTGAAATTAATTCTGTCCGTATTTCATAGTTGTCAATTTCAAGCAGTAAAACTACATGGCCAATAAAGACCCTTTTTTAGGGTTATCTAGTAGCTGGTCATGTTCTTAATACACACGTTTCCATATCGAGGCGCACACACCTTTTGGATGTGACAGTTTCGATTTCCAGCACAGCAACTATAGCTTCCGATTTTTGTGTTGTCTGTTGCGTCCTTTCCATCTTTCTACTTCTTTCTGTGAGTGCCGATCAATACATTGTCTGTCTGTTTCCTGAATGTATAATATGAATGCCGTTAGTTGTCGCAAACATGGCTAATGATTGGTGCTACCATAAATCAGCGAGGGCATATCCATACTATATCATATCTTTAAATAAACCCAGTTCGATCCAAATCCAGTCATTATCATTAACACAATGGAAGCTGCCAATCAGATCTCTTTCTTAAATGTTCGTTGTATTTTAGACAAAGCATTACGGTATGCTGTGTTTGTAAATGGTTGCTGTGTTTGTTATTTCCCCCTGTGCTTGATTTCCTTGACAGTACCCGCTCGTTAGCTTGGTGATATTGTTGAGTTTTCACAAGCTGTTAACTCCATTAGGCTCAAGATTGCAGTTTAAATGGAAAACACGATGATCATCACCGGAGCTACAGAGTTCGTGTTTTGTACGAAGCTTTCAGCGAGCAGCTAGCCATTCCACGGAGAGAGACGGAGCCGTATGGGATCCGGCCCCGAGGTCGAGCCTCTCAACTTTGACATTTAACCTTGATTAGCATATTTTTTGATGTGACCTAAAAACTACGCACTTTTGACGTCTTGATTTTATTGCTTTCTGCAGAGCTCTATGATGTTTATTTCGATCATGTGTATTGTGCTGTTGTCTCTACTATCCCCACCCCCCCCCCCCCCGGCCACCACCAAACCTCTCTTTGTAGGTTCCGCTACTGCAACCTGTTTACTCATCACCGAAATATGTACCTTCATCAAATGAAAATATGTATGACATAAACATATGTAACTTTTTTCTCTGTGATTTATTGTTTGGGCTGTATGATAGACAAGGAACAGCCTTGGGAAATTTCATAAAGGTCTGACGATAGTTAGGTTTCTTTAATAATTAGCAAAAACTTGCCATAATGTATTTTTCAAGCTTGTTCCCTCCCCTAAAGGTGGAAAAGGGTAGACCTACTGTCTCCAAACAGGCTTATTGTAAAAGGCTATTGTTTAGGGCTTTGCTGCCAATGGGTGTGTGGTGTCGAAAACAGTGGATATCACAGCCTAGCTGTAACCACAACACAGCGTGTAAACCACAATTTTAAAAACTAAATCAGAAGAGTTAGGGGCCGTAAAATCTGCAGTTTCTTGACATATTTTATGCTTTAGAGAAAGTTCATGTTTCAAATAGTTTATTTTTGTCTTCGTTTAGTTTGTCCCGTAAAGAAAGTTCATATCATCATTCAGAGAAAGTTTATACTTTAAAGAAATGTGAACAATGTCAGTCCACATCACTGGAGTTAGCCCGCTTCATGATACCACTGTTACAGTCGAAAAAAATGAATGTTATGGTTAGAAAGACTTCATCAGCATAAAACACAAACAAACGATACAATACTTACAAACAGCAAGACATAAATCCACGTTTCTGTCACATAATCACTATAACCCGCTTGAGCGGTAGGCACATCTGCGTGCCCATGTTGTTGCAAGATATGAGTATGGGCCAGGAAGTTTCACAGAGACGTAGGTTGGCTAGAGGTGGTTACGGCAAAGGACGTAACTCGAAATTTTTTACATAAAACTGTGTTGGATATTATGACCTTTAGGAGAGAGATAACCCAATAGACTTGAGAGAAAGCCAACGGTGTAGAAACAGTTAACCTGTTAGATACTATATAATGCAATTCATTCCATCTAAACTGTTTAACTGTTTGATCACCAGATTCATTAGACAAGAAAGACGAGCAGTTTATAGCACAGAATGAGGGGAACAGTAACAAGGGCATCAACTTTGATGTGCAGGATCCTCCAGCAGGTCCGCCTTTAAGAGGCAATGACCCACCTGGCAACAAGAGCCAGGAAGCAGCCAGCCAACCCCGGGGACAGCCGGTTCATGCGGCACCAGGACAGGCAGCAGCGTTACAGCAACAGGATGATGGTGAAGTCAAAGGCTCCAGGTTTATAGAAGCTGACGACAAGCAGTTCATCAGTAGGTGACATTTTATTTCCTTGTTTATTTCTTTGTAGTGGTTGATAGTTAATTTGGGATAAATGACACCAATTGGGAGACTACATCTCAAGACCGAAATGCATGGCGTGCAGCTCTACACAAGGGCGCAGCTACATGTGAAGCAAACAGAACAGCAAGACTGATTAAGAAAAGGATGGACAGAAAGGCGACTGCAGGAGATCCCCTCCCTGGCACAATGCTCATTCCCTGTCATAACTGTCCAAGAACTTTTCAGGCCCGCATCGGCCTCATCGGTCATCTTCGTACTCATACTTGATGAAAAAGATTGGTCATCATCATCAAGATGGACAACATACAGAGTAAGGGCGGATGCAGAAGTGATGAATCCCACATGGGCTAGAACAAAGCCCTATACTGGTCATGACTTATCTGCAGCTCTATGTGGTCATCCCAGAGACACAGTCCGAGTTGTGGACCTGACCAACATTGATAGGATTGAAGTGTCCATTGAAATCTGGGTGCATCTGGCTGACAGGCGTCGAACAAGTAATCCTGATATGTAAAAACAGATGTGGGTGCAAAACTTAAATCCTGTAAACTAAAGTTCAGAAGTGGGTGAACAACCAAGACTTTTCCCCAGAGTTTACATATTTATACCATGTGAACGTGAAGAAAAAAGAGGAATAGAAGAAAAAAGGAGGAGGAGGGGAGAAGGAGGAGAAGAGAAAGAAAAAAGCATAATAAGAACAAGAACAAGAATAAGGCAGAAAAAGAAGAAGAAATATAACATCAACAGCATGATGGTGGATATGCCTACCTAAGACATTACTTGGCTCCCATGACACGATCATGAAAAGTTGGAGAACGACTAAAGACATCTTGTTCTTGGTGTTTGCCATGTTGTTCTCTACTTCTGGGTTTTAGTTTTGTTCTAGAAATGCATGCACATCCGTTTTAAAGATCTCCCTTGTCTGTGTGCAGACTGTTGGTTTCTTGCCTCTCAAGCTGATGCTGAAATTGTTGGTTGTTCCACTACTTCCGGACATCAGTCTTGTTCCAAAACTGGAACTATGCGTGCACATCCTTTTCACAGATCTAACTTTCTTGTATGCAGACTGTTGATTCCTTGCCTCTTGGGCAGATGGGCTCTAATTTCAGAGGAAAAAGCGCCTAGTCGTCTTATACGACATGCTTTTTTTAGTAGGGAGGCCCCATCCACCTGAGGCCCCATCCACCCGTACCCCCAAATAGGGAACTCTCATGGGGAGACACTAATTCTAGGTTTGGGTGACATGTGAGTGTTTAGTCAGTTATTTAAACCCTCCCCCTTTCTACCCCCCCCCCCCCCCAAATAACACAGCGAGACGAATTTGAACCTTTATAACTGGAAGCAAGTGTACTGTTGACTTAACAGCTTTTTTCAACTCTGAGAAAAGTTTCAAATGAACTAGAGTTAACAGAATCTACAATTGACATCCTTGTTAAATAATGATTTCTTTTGGAGTTTCTCTTGTGCCAGTAAAGTTTCCTTTCAAGGGTAATTTTCATTCAACCTTCGTGTCAAATACAATCAGACAGTGGCTTTCAGAAAATCGATGAAGTTCTAGTTATTTTATTCTGGAAGATGTGTTTTCCATCAACTAAAGGTTGGCTGCGCTGTAGTTCTTTGAGGGCCACAGTCACTTTGATCTAACTGCAAAACTGGTTGTCATGATTCATATTTATTACCTCGTCCTTACCCGCACAAGACTTCAGCTGATTGTGTCACGTTTACGAGTGCTCTAATCATAACTTTTGTGGGGCGTTGAACAAGGTATCTTGGATATGTCATGTTGGTCTGCCGTCCAGATAGATGTTCCACTCACCCTGATAGTAGTGAACTTTCAGATAGCATCCAGGAGGACATAAGCTAATCGATCAGTTCATTTCTGCCAATGTTTCCTTCCATGGGTAATTTTCTCCTTGTTTGCCACAAGCCTTTGTGTTAGACACAATCGGAGGCTTTCAGAAAATCGATGAAGTTCTTGTTGTATTAGGGCTGTAGAAATGTTTCCATTAACTACAGGTTGGCTCCGGAGTAATTCTTTGTCTAAATTCAGCTTGTTCTGACAAAAATTGTTTGTCACGATCTATACTTATTATGTCTCTTTATGCGATAGCGACCAGTGCGAGACTGTTAGGGTGGATGTCAAATGTTGTCTTTAGATCTTTAGATAGGTTTGCTCTACTTTGGGTAGCTAATCGAAGTTTCGTCACCCTAAGATTTAAAAAAATGTATTTATCTTAGTTTGGATAGTGGGAAAGGACAGATCTCTCATACCCTGTTCAACCTGTGAGAAGTTATAATGAGGTCTCCGTAATGGTTACACCGGCCGGGGTAACCTGCAGTTCTGTGTCGGGAATGAGTGTTGTGTGGAGAGACGCTGAGTGTGGATGAAGCAGGCTGGTTTATGTGGCCACAGTTGGTTATAATGCTCATCATCTGGGACGCCATGGAAAGAAGACATTAGGGTTGTCGCGCCCTTCCCCCTTTTGTCCTTTCGGGGGGAGAGGCGGGGGAGGGGGGAGAGCACAACTCCCTTACATATGTCATGTGTGGGAGCGTAGGTTAAGTGCGTAATAATACAGGTATCAGAAACAGCAGAAAATGCTGCTAAAGCACATAATATACAAACCCTACACAAAATTACCCAGCAAATTTGCGGAAACAGAAACAATTATCACAGCATACCCATCAGAGATAACCAAGGCAGACTGCTCACCACAAAACAAAAACAAGACATGCAGTGGACTAAACACTTCTCCGACCTCTTGAACAGACCTGATCCTAAAAATCCCCCAGATATTCAACCAGCCTCTCAGGACATTGACATTATTACTGAACCACCAAGCAAACAAGAAATCCTTAAAGCTATCCACACTTTAAAGAACAACAAAGCACAGGGCAAAGACGAACTGCCAGGGAAATTCACAAAGTCGATCCAAACACAACTGCTAGCATTCTAGAACCATTGTTCAAGGATATTTGGGGAAAATAAGTGTTGCCTGATGACTGGACTGAAGGAACAATAGTCAAAACCCCCAAAAAAGGAGACTTAACAGACTGCACTAATTGGAGGGGAATTACTCTACTCTCAGTACCAAGCAAAATATTTTGTAAAATTATCGTAATGCGGCTTGAAAAAGGAGTAGATAAATGCCTGCGAGTGAAACAAGCAGGATTCAGAAAGGGCAGAGGAACAACTGAGCACATCTTCGCCATACGTAACATTTTAAAACAATGCAACGAATGGCAGAGAAGTATATATATTAATTTTGTGGACTTAGAGAAAGCTTTTGACAGCGTCCATAGAGACGGTCTGTGGAATATTTTACGACATTATGGAATCCAGAAAAAATAGTCAACATAATTGCTCTCTTCTATAAAGACTTTTCCTGCAGTATACAAAAAATTACAATACATCTTTCCCAGTAAAGACGTGTGTAAGACATATCTTGGCTGTGTGGTGTCCCTACTGGGAGGGACAGAGGAAGACATACAGTCACGCCTGAACAAAGCTAGAGCTGCTTTTGGAAGGATGAGGCAAATCTGGAAATCCAACAATTACTGCAGAGGAACAAAACTCCGACTCTACAAGAGCATCATTTTGCCAGTTCTTTATGGAGCGAAATGCTGGAGAATGACCAAAAAGGATGCACACAAGCTGTCCTCCTTCCACCACACATGTCTACGTAGAATTATCAAAATTTTCTGGCCAGATACAATCTCAAACACTAAACCCCTTAAAACCACAAACCAAGAAACTTTAGACAGTATGATTACCAAGAGAAGATGGAAATGGCTTGGCCACGTTATGAGAATGAGAATGAGAGTGCGGCATCTTTGACATGGAAAACTGCACTGAAGATTTCATAGGACAGGAAAGCATGCAAAGTCCTCTCTAAAGCCTCATGTGCCACTAGGAATAACGAGAACTGATGACTGATGATGAATACACGTAATAGTTGTATTCTTTGTTGTAGTAGTAAATGTCATGAATGACATGAAAGCTGTGGTTGTTTCTTCTTCTGGCTCCCCTAATGGAGCAATGTCATTAGGAGACTCAAGCTCACACAAGGCAGTGTGGCGACAGCTCAGTGGGAGAAATGTTTGTAGAAATCGCATATACTAAGCTACAGCCTTGAGGAAACCTTACAATGTTCCCCACTGGAGCAAACGCCCTCAACCAACTCACGCCAAGTCGATCTGTCCTGTGCTATCGCATGCAGCTTTCCCCATGTCCTTCCCAATTTGTTAACTTTACTCTCTAGCTCCCGTCTCCAATTGTTTTTTTTTTTTTTTGGTCTTCCTTTATTTATTTGCCCCTGTGGTTTCCAGTGCAAAGAGATTTTAGTGGTATTGTTCTCGGGTTTTCTCAATGTGTGTCCTATCCAACGCCAGCGTCTTTTCTTCACATCTTGTCCACTGGAACTTGTTTTGTTTTCTATGGTTGGCTGGTTGGTTGTTTTTGTGTGGCTATTGTGTATTTTTTACAGGATGAGGTAGGCAACCTCAAGCCCGACCCGACCCTTAGTCGTTAACTTAGTGTTAACTTGCTTTAACTCTTTTGGTACCAGGGAACTCACGGTACGTTTACTAGTTGCCATTTTTATGGCACACATTTCTGCACTCTTCGCGGCTCATTCTTCTTTTATGTTAACCAATTCTATCTCAGTTGTTACTATAATTCATTGTGTTCCAACGCTGTACTTTTCTATTCAGTAAGACTTTTTTTAAAAAGTGATCGCTCTAATGTGCCCAAAACGTTATGATTTACAGCGATTATAAGAACAACTGGCTGGGATTGGGAGGGTTAAGTCCCCGATGTGTAAAAGGCTTGAATCGACGGGGTTTTACATCGTCACCAAGTGTATCCACCAAAATTAAACTTGCCATCATTAGCGGTGTGTGGTGGTAAATGAATGAACCAAACCAATTTTATTTTGACCGGACTCTCATGCTTCAAGTGACAGATATGTCTTCATGTTTTCCAGTTATTGTGGCTGTTGCCGTGTCTACTGGCTTTGTGGGGCTCATGTTGGCGGGAGTTTGCTATTACAAGTAAGTACAACTTGTTTTATGACCTCTCTTCTTCTTCGTCTGCGTTCGCCCTTATACGGGCACTTAGCATACTGTATTGTGGATTGCAGCTAGGCTGCGAAATTTGCGACTTTTAATCCAACACAACTGATTTCAACACACCCCTAATTAATTAGTAGCCTTTTATGACAGGATGTTAGGGGGCAGAGTATGTATTAATTTTTTCTGCTCATCCAAAATACGGCCCTGGAAAGAGACGGGAACTGCGGCGTTTAGTCGCAGGTCTACAAGTCAAGAACCCCTTTCACTCTATCGACACATTTAGCATGTAGTTCTAGACAATACATGTATAGATAAGGTGCTAGTGAAGTGATGTAGTCAGCATAACACTGGTCACCTTTACTTCACGTGACATTTTGCTGTCCATTGTGGGGTTGCGTTGACCTAGGAGCCAAGGTCGGTTATTAATGAGATAATTAACAACTGCTGCTGGTTATGATGCTGCTGCTGTTGCTGCTGCTGCTGTTGCTGCTGCTACTATTACTATTGCTGCTGTTACTGTTGCTGCTGTTACTTCTACTACTGCTGCCATTGCTTCTGCTGTTGCTGCTGCTGTCAGTTTTTCTGCTGCTACTGCTGCTGCTACTGCTTTTGCTGTTTTTGTTGCTGCTACTACTACTATTGCTGTTGCTATTTCTGCTACTGTTGCTACTGCTGCTGTTACTACTGTTGCTTATGCCACTGTTGCTGCTGCTGTTACTATTGTTAATGCTGCTACTACTACTCCAACTGTTGCTGCTTTTACTAATACTATTAATGCTGCTATTACTACCGCTGCTGCTACTACTACGGTTGCTGATGTTACTGTTGCTGTTGCTACTGCTACTACTACAGTTGCTGATGTTACTGTTACTGTTGCTACTGCTACTACTACAGTTGCTGATGTTACTCTTACTGTTGCTACTGCTACTACTACAGTTGCTGATGTTACTGTTGCTACTGCTACTACTACAGTTGCTGATGTTACTGTTACTGTTGCTACTGCTACTACTACAGTTGCTGATGTTACTGTTACTGTTGCTACTGCTACTAATGATTCTACAGCTGCTACTGTTGTTGCTGTTGCTACAACTGCTGTTGCTACTTCTCCTGTTGCTGCTACTACTGCTGCTGCAGCTACTGCTGCTGCTACTACTGCTGCTGCTTCTACTGATACTGCTACTGATATCTTCTTCTTCTTCGTTCACCGGCTGTGAATTCCGGCGGTAGGTCCCGGTTAATCGTCCGCTTGGGCTTTTGGCTTTTACCTGGACCTGAGTTTTGCGTGTACAACCGTTTTACTGGCTTTTGCCGTTCCCTGCCTCACGGGCAGATGTACTCCGACTTCGAGGGAAGCTACTGCTATCATTCCTGCAACTACTACCGCTGCTACTACTACAACTGTTGCTACTGTTACTACAATTATTACTGCTGCTGCTACTACTGTTGTTGCTGCTGCTACTGTTGCTGCTGCTACTACTGTTGCTGCTACTGTTGCTGCTGCTACTACTACTTTTACTGCTGCTACTACTGTTGCTGCTGCTACTACTGTTGCTGCTACTGTTGCTGCTGCTACTACTACTTTTACTGCTGCTACTACTGTTGCTGCTGCTACTACTATTGCTGCTACTACTACAACTGTTGCTGCTGCTACTACTGTTGCTGCTGCTACTACTGTTGCTGCTACTGTTGCTGCTGCTACTACTGTTGCTGCTGCTACTACTGTTGCTGCTGCTACTACTATTGCTGCTACTACTACAACTGTTGCTGCTGCTACTACTGTTGCTGCTGCTACTACTGTTGCTACTACTGTTGCTGCTGCTACTACTGTTGCTGCTGCTACTACTATTGCTGCTACTACTACAACTGTTGCTGCTGCTACTACTATTGCTGCTACTACTACAACTGTTGCTGCTGCTACTACTGTTGCTGCTGCTACTACTGTTGCTGCTACTGTTGCTGCTGCTACTACTACTTTTACTGCTGCTACTACTGTTGCTGCTGCTACTACTGTTGCTGCTACTGTTGCTGCTGCTACTACTACTTTTACTGCTGCTACTACTGTTGCTGCTGCTACTACTATTGCTGCTACTACTACAACTGTTGCTGCTGCTACTACTGTTGCTGCTGCTACTACTGTTGCTGCTACTGTTGCTGCTGCTACTACTGTTGCTGCTGCTACTACTGTTGCTGCTGCTACTACTATTGCTGCTACTACTACAACTGTTGCTGCTGCTACTACTGTTGCTGCTGCTACTACTGTTGCTACTACTGTTGCTGCTGCTACTACTGTTGCTGCTGCTACTACTATTGCTGCTACTACTACAACTGTTGCTGCTGCTACTACTATTGCTGCTACTACTACAACTGTTGCTGCTGCTACTACTGTTGCTGCTGCTACTACTGTTGCTGCTACTGTTGCTGCTGCTACTACTACTTTTACTGCTGCTACTACTGTTGCTGCTGCTACTACTGTTGCTGCTACTGTTGCTGCTGCTACTACTACTTTTACTGCTGCTACTACTGTTGCTGCTGCAACTACTATTGCTGCTACTACTACAACTGTTGCTGCTGCTACTACTACAACTGCTGCTGCTACTACTACAACTGTTGCTGCTATTACTAATATTATTATTGCTGCTATTTTTTCCGCCGCTGCTACTACTACAGTTGCTGCTGTCACTATTACTGTTGCTGCTACTACTGATTCTACTTTTCTACTTCTGCTGCTGTTGCTACTACTGCTGTTGCTACACCTCCTGTTGCTGCTGCTGCAGCTACCTCTGCTTCTGCAGCTATTACTGCTACTGATACTGCTATCATTGCTGCTAATACTTGCGTTGCTACTACTATAACTGTTGCTGCTGTTACTACAAATATTACTGCTGTTACTACTACTGCTCCTGCTACTACTACGATTGCTGGTGCTGCTATTGTTGCTGTTGCTGCTGCTGCTGCTACTGCTGTTACTACTGTAGTTTCTGCTACTAATGCTACTGCTGCTGCCTCTGTTGCTGCTGATGCTACTACTGCTGTTGCTACTACTACTGTTGCTACTGCTGCTGCTTATATTTTTGCCGTTATCACTGCTGCTGCGTTTTTTATGTTGCTACTGTTACTACTGTTACTGCTTCTGCAATTATTGCTTCTACTACTACCTGCTACTACTACTACTATTGTTGTTGCTGCTACTTTTTCTGCTGCTACTGTTGCTACTACTGCTTTTGCTGTTTTTGTTGCTGCTGTTACTAATACTACTGTTGTTGCTACTACTACTGCTGCTGTTGCTACTACTCCTACGACTACTACTACTAGTACTACTACAACTATTGCTGCTGCTACTACTGTTTCTGCTGTTAATACAAATGTTGCTGCTGCTACTACTACAACTGTTGCTACTGCTACTACAACTGTCGCTGCTGCTGCTATTACAAACGTTGCTGCTGCTACTACTACAACTGTTGCTGCTTTTACTAATACAAATAATGCTGCTATTACTACCGCTGCTGTTACTACTACTAATGCTGCTGCTACTACTGATTCTACTGCTGCTACTATTGATGCTGTTGCTACTACTGCTGTTGCTACTTCTTCTATTGCTGCTGCTACTGCTGCTGCAGCTACTGCTGCTGCTTCTACTGGTGCTGCTACTGATATCTTCTTCTTTTTCGTCGCTCACCGGCTGTGAATTCCGGCGAAGGTTCCAGTTAATCGTCCGCTTTGACTTGTGTCTTTTACCTGGACCTGAGTTTTGCGCGTACAACCGTTTTACTGGCTTTTGCCGTTCCCAGCCTCACGGGCAGATGTACTCCGACTTTGGGGGAAGCTACTGCTATCATTGGTGCCGTTACTACTTCTCCTGTAGCTGCTGCTGCTGCAGCTACTGCTGCTACTACTACTGCTAATACTACCGCTTCTACTACAACTGTTGCTGCTGTTACTACAATTATTACTGCTTCTAATACTACTGCTGCTGCTACTACTACGACTGTTGCTGCTGCTACTACTACTGTTGCTGCTGCTACTACTACAACTGTTGCTACTACTACTACTACAACTGTTACTGCTGCTACTACTACTACTACTACTACTGCTGCTACTACTAGTTGTTGCTGCAATTACTACTAATGTTGCTGCTGCTACTACAGCTGTTGCTGCTGCTACTACAGCTGTTGCTGCTGCTACTGCTACAATTGTTGCTAGTGCTACTACTCCAACTGTTGCTGCTATTACTAATACTATTAATGCTGCTATTACTATCGCTGCTGCTACTACTACAGTTGCTGCTGTTACTACTACTGTTGCTGCTGCTACTGCTGCTATTACTGCTGCTGTTGCTGCTACTGTCATTACTACTTCTCCTGTAGCTGCTGCTGCAGCTACTGCTGCTGCAGCTACTGCTGCTTCTGCTGCTACTGGTACTGCTACTGCTTTTATTGCTGCTACTAATGCCGCTGCTACCACTACAGCTGTTGCTACTGTTACTAAAATTATTACTGCTGCTACTAATACTGCCGCTGGCTACTACTACAACTGTTGCTGCTGTTACTACAGTTATTAACGCCACTATTGCTGCTGCTACTACTGCTACTATTGCTGCTGTTGTTACTACACTAGTGCTGCTGCTGCTGTTGCTGCTACTACTACTCCAGCTGCTGCTGCTACTGTTGATGTTGCTGCTGCTGCTACTGTTGTTTCTGCTACTACTACTAATGCTACTGCTGCTGCCTCTACTGCTGCTGATGCTACTACTGCTGTTGCTACAACTACTGTTGCTACAACTATTGTTGCTACTGCTGCTGCTAATACTTTTGCCGTTAATATTGCTACTTTTGCTGCTGCTGCTATTATTGCTGCTACTACTGCTGCTACTACTACTCGTCCTTCTTCTGTGTTTCCCTCTTCTTCTTTTTCTCCGTCTCCTCCTCTTTCTCCTTCTTCTTCACGGGACAGAAGGCAAATATCTTACTTCAAATCAGAAA